AAAGGGTCCCAAAAGAAATCTGAAGGGTTGGAGATCATTAATGGCAGAGGAAGAAAAAACAAAATTCTTCAATCTAAATCTTTATTCATATATTGGACTTTCCAATTTTTCTAACTTCAGCTTTTTATGAAATATTGGATATTTTGAGCTCTTTGGGCCTCAAACAATTATGTAAACCAACCATATGACTTCAGAGAAGACTTTTGGTGGAACTACTAATCACTTATAGACATCGCAGACATCTGAAAAGTGACAAGGAGCCCCAGCTACACCCTTGTGACCTCTTTTTCTGTAAGACAATGTACAATATATCCCTTTGAAATGTAGTAACATAAAATAGAAATACTCAATAAAGTACGAGTACCTCAAAACTTTATTTAAGTGCAGTACTTGAGTAGATGTACTCACTTTCCACCACAGCCGCAAAGCCAAAATCCAGAAAGCAACTGGCTGGCATTTTCATTTGCTCATGCATCCACCCACTCAGAGTAACCATGTCTGCCCCCTGGAGACCATTAGCAAGCATGGCTCTGTCAACGCACATAACCTGGTCTGATTTCTGCATCACATCTGGGTTCTTCTCTCTATGGCACTGTCAAGTTGTATGTACCAAAACTATTGGGCCAATATGCCACCCACAAACATGATTTACATCCCTAAAAACATGTTTCCTAGTGTATACTGGCATTAACTATGACAGCATTTTATTGCCTCAATGACAAAATAATGCTATTTAAAACATTTTTGGGGCACTTTTGGCCAGTTTTTAAAAAAAAATCATGTCTGCAGCAGTAACTAAAAAAAGCCAAAGGAAGGATGGAAAGAAAAAAATCAAAATACATAATTCTTAGATACATAGAAAATATCAGTGTCCATGGTGATACGGAGATATTAATAAATAAACTCACAATTACTGGGCCACTTGTTTTTTGAAAAATATTGTTGCCATAGTGAAGCAATTTCCTTAAGTAGAAGAAGCAAGAAGAATTACAATTTTAAAGGTTCATAAAATATAAGCTACACATTTTTAATGATGTAGCTTATTAATGATATTTAAAAGTTAGACCCATTGTTGATTCATTCAGTCATTGATTTTATATAATTCTGGTGAGTGACACCTCGGATTTTCTGTTCCTCAGGGTTGGCTGTCCAGTGCTGTCAGTATATACACTGCTGCTGGGTGCAGGCAGCCACTGAACGCTGCTGCAGCGCTGCCTTTGCCTCCTACACTAAGATGTTAAGTCTCCCTAGCCCCCGCACTGAGCATGCTCAGACAAACCTGCTTCTGGATCTCTAGACAAGAGTTTAGCAGTCATCTGCACATTGAATGATGAGAAGTGACAAGAACAGTGGGAGGCCATGGAGCTGAGAATCTCTGGCACTGTGAGGCAAAGCCAACAGCTGCTTTACCAGGCCCACACACAAACTCACACCCACACACATTAAACACATACAGGCCCACAGAAATATATACAGTAAGCAAGCTAAAAGACAAAAGTTTTTTATGGTCTTGTTTAAATACACAAGGGTCTCAGTAAGTAGGTTTAATGTGGAAACAGCCAAAAGGTCAGTACATACAATGGATACAGTAACATCTGAACACCAACCAACACTAAACAGCTGATGAGATTGTCATTATTTTGCACATATTTGTTATTAGCATAGCGTACAAAAAGAAATATCTTGCCTGATGGTGGCACTAGATGAAAAGTCAGGGCATCACCAAAGTTCTTAGAATTTATCCTGTGGTAGCAGAACCATGCTGCTACCGTGGCTAAAAATTACTGTTCAAAGCAACCAGCAATGAAACATATCATTTAAGAAGGAAATCTTCTGAAAAACAAATTTTACGTTTTGTAAAACTTAAAAGATTGCTTCAGCCGAGTTATTATACAGCACTACACAAGAAGGCTGCACCTCTGTTGCAGCTGGCTCTAAGGTACAATAAAGGAGTGCAGAGAAAGCTGAATCTGCATAAAGAAGATGAATGTTGCTTGTACAGCACACTGTGGTACTATGAAGGTATAAGCATAATTCATTACAGCCGTTTGAGCCAAACAAAAGAAATCTGCCGATTAGAAATGAAGCACAAAATGTAGCTACTATTAAAAGTATACATCAGACTTAAAAACTCTCTCTTTTGCTTGTGTTTAGTCAGATCAATTGGCAAACCCCCGCAAACCTCACTGCACCCAGTGCACCCTGCGGAAGAAATTTGTTTAATTATCCATGGCAACTGCTTTCCTGTTCAGGTCTACTGGGGACAATTAGGACGTGTGACTTAACAAACACCAGCCAGCACTCCAATCAGACACAGTGGCAGCAAAAATTTACAACCTTACACTGCAGCCTCAAACCGTTTTAGAGAAACCAAAAAAGGAATCTTTTTATGCTTCGCACCTCACCACCCACCTTATCTCCCACTCAGTTGCATAATGTATGAGTTTATTTTAACCTTCTTATCACTTATCACTTATCACAAGTAAATAGATAGATAAATGGATAAATAAAGAAATAAAAGAAAGTGCACAAAGATAATGCAAAGATGTCCTGTCTAAACTGACCAATGAGTGACCTACATTGGTTCTGAATTGCTGATCAAAATCAGTGTTTGGAATACAGTCAATATCCTAAATAATGAACTCCTTTCCTTAGATAATGAAGTCACCTTCTTATTTTCTTTTATTAGTAATTTCCTTGACATAGTTCCACTTCTCTTTCCTGCTCCACTTGATCTTTGTACTGAGGAGAGTCCTTGTGGACTGAGACATCTCCACCTTCACTATGCACCTTAATTAGGTTTAAAAAAGAATCATCAGAGTTTTTAGTCATTTTTCTACTCCCAAATCTCAGAGCTTATGCTCTCTTTCCAGCAGTAACATTTATGAGGCTTTTTTTGTATTTAATGACTTGTATTTCTAATGAATCAAACAGACCTCCTAAACTCTCAGTCCAACTGTTCGAGGACATATGTGCCACAATGAGATGAGTCCTGCTTGTAGCAGATAGTCCAAAACATGACGTTGTCAGTGTATCTATTTTAGATATATCACCCAATAAAATGTTTCCTTCTTCCCTGTGATACAATCTTATCTGCATATTCCGTCGCAAAGATTTTTTTTCTTCAGACCATGCACACGGCATGGGGAAAGAATAAGACCTTGAGAGGTCCTTATTATATCTGGAGTTGAAGTCTGCAGAATGAAAACTAGTTTATACTGCCATCTGGTGGAGATACATTGAGAGAACAGATCAATTACTGTCCTGCTTTCTTTGATAAAGGCTGCAGTATGCCCCATGGACACACCACAGACATAGTACTGTATTGTTGGGAATCCGCTCAGTGAAAAATATGCATGTGTATGATCAGCCAGTCACTTTGAACCTATTCAAATCTAGAATGCTGTCCCTATAAAGGGGACGCATTAACCCACTAGGGGGCCCTATAGGTCCAGATTGTTTGTGGTAATTTGCTGAACAAATGTTTATTTAGGAGTATGCAACATGTAATTGATTTTGTCTGCTTCGGTAAGACAGGTAGACAGACAGGACCACAAACCGACTCACTGCACCCAATGCTTTGGGACCCTGGGGAGGTTTCCATATTTGCCTGGTTGGTAATCCAGCCCCAAGTATTGCCACTTCTCTGCTTTTTTACATCAAAGAAAGCAGTTGACAAAATCGCTACAATTGGTGTCCTCAGAAGTTGTCGCAGTCGACACACACACACAGTGGAACCCCTCTGCCTCAGCACTGAGCATGCCACTGCTACAGTTACACTGACAGCAGTTGGCAGTGATTCCTTTGCCCCTGTGTTCAAGGCACTGCTCCAGCTCATCCTCTGAGACACAAAAGTATTGTCATCCTTCTCTACTTAGACAAAGACCTCTATCCCATATCTGGTGAGGCAGGACAGCCGGCACATAACCACCCGTAAAACCACACCGTGTTGTTTTAGCACTTTGGTTTTTGAATTGTCACAGCCCAGGCTCAGTGAGCTAGACAAAGAGGGAGAGCACACAAGATTTAATGTATTTAAAAAATGTTTTATTTGAAAGTAAGACGAAAGAAACAAACACTTATGAATAAATCTGTAGTCTGTAAGTCAGTGGAGGGTGCGGTGTTGAATGCATGTGTGGCGATGTGCAGGCAGAACAATGGAAACTCAGACCAAAAAGATAAATGGTGATAGTGCGAGAGAGAGAGAGAGCCTGCCCAGGTGCAAGACGTCAAGTTAGTGGGCTCCACCCATCTCTACCTGGAAGCCACCTGCAAAGGAAAAACACAAGACAGCAAGAGGAGCACTGATAGAATCAGAGCTTTAGATGTGCTGGTAGGTGAATTTTACTTTTGGACCCTGCAAGGCTAGCTGCTTTCTCCTGTTTCCAGTCTTTGTGCCAAGCTAACCTAACCAGCAGTAATTTATACACACAGACATGAGAATGGTACCAATCTTCTAACTCTCAGCAAGAAAGCTACTTTTTGGAGAAAGCAGTTAAAGGGGAACTTGGCAACTTTTTCAGCTTAATAAACCCGTTTAGAAATCATTTGGATGG